AAAAAAAAAAAAAAAAATACTGATCGAATTGAGTAACCTCCTCCTTTTTCGAAGTCGGTTAAAAATCAACGGTCCATGCGTTGCTGGACCTGAGGGGCTATGTCAAAGAAAAAAGGGAAAGAAAAGAGAAGGTAATAGGAGTCGCATTAGATATTAAAAATGCGTTTAATACGCTGAGTTGGCCGGCTATTCTTGATGCGCTAAAGGGGATGGAGGTACCGCAGTACCTCCTGGCCCTCATCTGTTAACTAGAGGAGTCCCTCAGGGCTCAATCCTCGGGCCCTTACTGTGGATTCTATCTTACGACAGAATTCTTAAAAAATGCCTGACGATGGGACTCAGGGCCATCTGCTATGCAGATGCTACCCTGGTCCTGCTGTCGGGTAAAAACGCTGAAAAAACGGTGACAATTCTCTCCGAAGCCTTAAAGGAAATTATTGTCTCGATGGAAAGATTGGGGCTACAGATTTCAACGAATAAAACCGAAGTTATAATCTTCGGAATATATTCCACTAATAACGATTGGCTGGCTCGACCCATTAAAGTGAAGGAGGACTTACTCCTACCAAAAAAAAATATTAAATACTTAGGGATGATATTAGATCCCCTTTTGAATTTTAGAGATCACCTGGAGGGCACGGAGAAGAAAGTTGAAGTCACTCTTGGTAGTTTGGCTAGATTAACACCCAATCTTAACCAGTTAACTGTGATTGACGAGTATACTCGTCATGCGTATAAAGTAGTGACCATTGGCTATTTAAATTGTAATTTTTGAGAAAAACAAAATTCTTAAATTTCAAGATGTTTAGAATATTTTGAGGCCATGCCAGAATAAAACAAACAAATAAAAAATATAAATAATTTGCGATGAACTCATGCGTCCCCGTATGCACCGGCTGAAACAGCTTACCAGTTCGCACAACGAATTTATTTATGTGCGACAACAACGTTTTTTTAGATGTTAGCGTAAAAGGAAAGCAAAAGCAAAAGTCAGAAAGCTGATTTATGATAGGGTCCCTTCAGGGATGGTCTATCATATGCATTTAATTTTTATTGCGTTTTTCATCTAATAAGTATGTAATATATGTTTAAGTTAACCAAATAAATATACATTAATAATAAAAGTGTCAATTTTATAAAATAAACCCATTTTTGATCCAATATCTTACCAGCGCAACTTACTCTGTGATTGACGAGTATACTCATCGCTCGATTTCGGCGACACAGTTAACTGGTTAAGGGCCCGAGGGCCCAAAGGAGGGCGATGTTGGCCTCGGTTGTCGCCTCCATTACCTTGTACGCCGCACCGGTTTGGGCAGACTCTTTAAAACTTGGAAGAAATTTAAAAATAATTAATCGAATTTATAGGAAGTGCGCTCAGCTTATTAGCTGCGCGTATAGGACTGCAGCGGGTGAGGCCACGGGGGTTATTGCGGGACTTGCTCCCCTTGACTTAGTCGCAAGAGGTAGAAGGGATAATTTTGAGAAGTTTAATAAGAATCAGGAAGGGACTTTGAATAATATCAACTCCAACCCTAATATTAATATCAATAATGCAACTAAAAACAAAATAAAAAAGAAAACGGAAAGAGATATTATTAGAAAATGGCAAGAACGTTGGTCTGGCAGGGGCCCTCAGGACAGCAGCGCATGGACAAGGAGGGTCTTGCCGGATGTCACCCGTTGGAAGAGTAGGAAATATGGGGAAATTACTTACTATTTAACATAGGCTCTCTCCGGGCACGGGGGCTTTCAATCAATTCCTCGAGAAGGTAGGAAGGAGGGAAAGTGTAGCGTGCCTATATTGTGGCTTTGCTTGTGATGATGTTAAACACACTATTTTCCAGTGTGTCCATTGGAAGGAGATAAGGGAACGATACAATATCCCTCCTGGGGATGTGCTACTGGCTACGGGGGCTTTAGAAAAATATCTCTTGACGAGTAAGGGGAATTGGACTGCATTTTCATCTGCGATAAAGGATATTTTGAGTAAAAAAGAGTTAGATGATAGAGTACTAGGCTACTGAGAGAAGCTTAGGCATGTTTTGGAAAGATTGTGGGCGGAGCCTTGCCCACTAACTCTTATAGTTCAAGACCTTGGTTAATTTTTATCCTTTGGACCATATTTGAAATGTTCCCCTAAGATAGGGGATAAGGAAAGAAAAGTATATCTAGAGTTGCTGTACCTAAAGGAAATTTTTCTTTAAGACCTATTGGTATGGAAGTAAATCATAAATTATTATTTGTCGATGAAGGGTCGATAAGGTAGGCACGATCTTAAAAAAACTTAAAATTACCGACTGTCGGTCACTGACTACGAGTGATGCCTGTATTTCAAGAGGGGAAACTATATATAGTAACTATATATAGACTAAACCTTTAAAATATACCATACAGAGGGGCTAAGAACTACAAAAATTATATAAGATCAAACTTAAAATATTTAATACTTAAAGAAAGAGTTAAGTGTCACAATTAGAATAAAGAAAGGAAGTAGAGAGGCTGTACCCTAAACACTATAAATGAAAACTACCTCAATGTGCACTAAAAGAGGTTATGTGCAGTCACAGGCACATTCTATAATTAAATGTACTCAAAAGTTCACACATCAAATTCCTAACCCTAATTTCTACGTTCAATAATCACTGCTGAATTCAATGTTCCTTCTGGATAACAGCACATTAACGGTGAAAGATAATTAAAAGCAATCGAATATATATACACCACTAGCACTGGTCACCAAGTACAGCTCACCCACAAAATCCATTTAAATAAAGCACAAAACTGGCAGATCAGAACAAATGACCCACGCAAATTATAACAAAAAGAAATTGATCCATGTGTATCACCCGGGTGCCAATTTCCTCTCCACTTGTATGTCAGTATTCAGGCATAATTATAACTTCCGCTATACGAAGATTATAGCTTAAAGGTAGATATTAACCAGTAAACCAGATTTCATTCGGTAGGTAACGTGCGTGATAACCAGCATCTAGCTCACGTTGGTAAGAAGTCCGTTCAGGTAAAGGTAATCGTCGTTGTGTAGCAAGTACATGGGGTACGTAAGTGAGTAGATACGTATCAAGTACGCCCCTACCAGGTCCATTGCCCCTAGCCGGCAAAGCAGTTGATCATCATCCGTCGGTAAAACCCCCTCCCAGTATACCGACGTATGTTCTGTGCGCAGTATTATTATCAACTACCGGAAAGTTTCAATATATATAACAACAGCACTTCTCTACTACATCAACTGTTATCCACTGTCTATTAATTATTAACTATTAGCAACTGTCGGTAACAGTAGTCAGTCAGGGGGGTGTCCCACTTGGACGCCGACCGATTGGGCGCGTCCCGATTGGACCGTCCCGATTCGACGCGTTCCAATTCGAAGCGGTGCCGATTGGACGCGTTCCAATTCTAAGCAGAGCTTATAGAACATGACCTAACCAAATTTAACAGCTTCGAATTGGGACGCGTCCAATCGGCACCGCTTCGAATTGGAACGCGTCGAATCGGGACCGTCCAATCGGGACGCGCCCAATCGGTCGGCGTCCAAGTGGGACACCCCCCTGACTGACTACTGTTACCGACAGTTGCTAATAGTTAATAATTAATAGACAGTGGATAACAGTTGATGTAGTAGAGAAGTGCTGTTGTTATATATATTGAAACTTTCCGGTAGTTGATAATAATACTGCGCACAGAACATACGTCGGTATACTGGGAGGGGGTTTTACCGACGGATGATGATCAACTGCTTTGCCGGCTAGGGGCAATGGACCTGGTAGGGGCGTACTTGATACGTATCTACTCACTTACGTACCCCATGTACTTGCTACACAACGACGATTACCTTTACCTGAACGGACTTCTTACCAACGTGAGCTAGATGCTGGTTATCACGCACGTTACCTACCGAATGAAATCTGGTTTACTGGTTAATATCTACCTTTAAGCTATAATCTTCGTATAGCGGAAGTTATAATTATGCCTGAATACTGACATACAAGTGGAGAGGAAATTGGCACCCGGGTGATACACATGGATCAATTTCTTTTTGTTATAATTTGCGTGGGTCATTTGTTCTGATCTGCCAGTTTTGTGCTTTATTTAAATGGATTTTGTGGGTGAGCTGTACTTGGTGACCAGTGCTAGTGGTGTATATATATTCGATTGCTTTTAATTATCTTTCACCGTTAATGTGCTGTTATCCAGAAGGAACATTGAATTCAGCAGTGATTATTGAACGTAGAAATTAGGGTTAGGAATTTGATGTGTGAACTTTTGAGTACATTTAATTATAGAATGTGCCTGTGACTGCACATAACCTCTTTTAGTGCACATTGAGGTAGTTTTCATTTATAGTGTTTAGGGTACAGCCTCTCTACTTCCTTTCTTTATTCTAATTGTGACACTTAACTCTTTCTTTAAGTATTAAATATTTTAAGTTTGATCTTATATAATTTTTGTAGTTCTTAGCCCCTCTGTATGGTATATTTTAAAGGTTTAGTCTATATATAGTTACTATATATAGTTTCCCCTCTTGAAATACATTTGATCTTTTGACAAGGTTATGAAGAATTCCTCGGTTTACGTTAAGTGATGTTGAAATGCTAAATAAGAAGATGCACAAGTTTTGTTTAATCTACTAACTGTTAAAATATAAAGAAGACTATATTTTAATTTTAAATTTTAACTGGAATCTTAATTTTAATCTTAATTTTAACTCTAATTTATGTTTTTAAAAGTGTACTTTAATTATGCAGTTGGAAATGACTGTTCCTTCTCTTATTTGTTTTAGGCTTTTACCTTAGCTAAATAGTTTTGATATTCAATGTAAGCTCTTTTGAAGGGATGTGGAATCTCTTCTCCTGCGTTACAATATTTACAATAATCTCAACTACCCAAGAGCTTTTTTAGTACTCCAGTACGCTATTTTCACGCATATTTTATGTTAGACTGTTATTTTTGTGGTTCGGGAAGCAGTTTAGACTTCTATCTGTGAATTTTGATGAAGAGTGAATTAACACGTAGGCCATTCCCTGGGTTTTAGAATATTTTAGTACATACTTGAAGGAAATGAGTTGGAGACAATCTATGTTATTGAAATATAATAAACTGATAAGTGGAAAATATATAAGCTGAATCTCTGACGCATGAATGTCTCATATTGCAATGATGAAAGACTTTCTGATATACTTTGACATCGTTAGGAGTTACATTATGCTTTGTATATCACAGTAAGAATTTCCTTTTCAATATTTTGTATTAATTTATTTTATTTAACTGGTATTCTGTATTTTATTTTATATTATATAACGACTTATTTGCTTCTTATAACATAACTTAACTGTTTTACATAATGACTGTTGTTTTTCTCCTCTTATATTGATCGACTGTTACTTATTGAAATTTTCTGCTGTCGCATTTGACGTGAACTTGTATATACCAAGGGGACTAGTTTACTTGTTCTTATATTCTATTTTATTATAGTTTTAAACCATGAATAATTCATTTCGTTTGAATTACTACATTCAAAGCCCTCGGTGGGATTTCTTCCTTCCCTCGTAGTCCTCTTTCATTTTTCTTGGATTCTTGGTTGTTGTATGGACCTTCTAATTGATATTCGACGACGTTGACTAATATATGCAAAATTATGATTCTCTATCAGTCTTGGTGACTTACTGGTGACACTTGCCTCGCCTTACTGGAAAAGGGCTTTGTCACCGCCTTGATCATTACGGTAACAGATGTTTGAGACGCATTGCAGGTTTTGACTGATACTTTGTATTTATTAAAGCTGCATCAGCTTGTTACACATGAGATTTTTGTTTAAATTTTTCTTTTTTTAATTTCTTTTGTATTATTTGGTTTTGCAGGCCTATGTTCTCTATGTAGAAGATTATTGCATCTTTTTTATTTATTTCTACTTATTCTATTTATATTGTTGTTAATACTTATTTGTTGTCTAGCCTTTTGTGTTTTTCTTACTTATTTATTATTTATTTATTTATTCACCTTTTATTCATTTATTTCTCATTTATTTATTTTCCTATGTACTTAGATTTTGTAGTTCTTTATTTAGTTAGGCAGAGTTCCCTTGTGGATCTCTATTACTTTTATTTTCTTTCTTTCTTTTCTTTTTTTTTCTCTGCTCTGACATATATTACCTATTACACTAATGGTAGACGAAGACTATAGAATCATTTTACTATTTAACTGGAAGACTGGACCAAACATAGTTACTGTATAAGTATTACTAAGACTTTGACAGGCAGACGGTTCTTTCTGCCCTGAATATAGATATAGTGTTGGCAGGGTTCCCAGCTGATTATCTTGATATCTTTTGTATTTTAATTATAATTAATCACAATCTTAGCATTATTAATTAATTAAATACTTTACTAATTAAATTTAATTTTGGAAGGAGTTGGGGTACTAAGAATAGACTTCTTTCTTTGCAGAGAGTTCTTCATCAGAAGACAGCTGATCCCTGTACACATATAAGGGGTGGGTTGGAGGATGGATATTGTTTATCTGATTGACCTGGACGAATCCTGGACTGGCTTTTGCCCGTGCTGGGACGATTTTATGTTTGTGTAAGGCTTTTATGTTTATATAGGTGTAAGTTTGGATTTATAACTTTGGGCTAGTGTGTCTTAGATAAGGGTTGGTAGTGATTTTTAACTTACTAGTCAACGACGAAAGAGGGTCTTCGTGTTGTATGGTACTTTGTTGTTATTTGTTGTTTAATAATAAAGGTAATTCTTTAGTATAGTGCAGACCGCAGATTTACTTATTTTATGATCTGACCTAACTCCCCCTGGAAGGAGGAGCACCCTGCACTCCCACAGGTGTGCGTACCCTTCTTGGGGGCAACTGCCATGGCCCGTCCCAAGCCGGGTTGAGAAAAGTAGAGGGGCCTAGCTGTACCTAACCAGTATCCCCCCCCTTACCGGCCGCCCTACACCAGGGGTGGAAGTGATACCGAAAGGCAATTGCTCTACCCCCTGGGCTGAGGAACCCTAACTCGGCGGTGGTTTCGGTCTCAAAAAAAAAGAGGATAGGTACGGTATAAGATAAAGTGTACAGGATAAGATAAACCGTCTAAAACACCAATTACTTTTATATAAGATATTAATTAAACAAGAGTAGATAGCAAATAAATTGGGATGATCTTGCCCGACTCAACACTTCGATCCCCACAGAATACCTAACTTCATATGATTACTCATTTAATCGGCAATATCACAAAGAGCATATAAGGAAAAGAAAAATCTGACCTCGTTATAAGTATATTTCAGAGAATAGTGTTTTACTATCGCTGTATAATTAATTAAATTACTCCGAAGAGTAATAAAATATCAGTGATTTAATATTACAGGCTATATAGCTTGTGACGTATACGTCACGATCCGGCAACCGCGCCCCGGCAACCGCGCCCCGTCAGCCGCGCACCGCGAGGTGGGGACCCCCCACCGAGACCCGATACACTTAATCACCGATCGATCGCGTGATCGATGAGTTGGCTCGGGGTTTCGGCCCCGACAGGATCCCTCCGGAGGTCCGCTCCAGGCAAATCCGGTTTCCCCAGTCTGCGGACAGGGCTCGGGCTGGGAAAACTGGAGGTCGGCGCCGGTGCGGAGGCAAGGCCACGCCAACCCTCGGCACCTCCACCGGCCATGGAGCCCGCGGCAAGGCCTAGCTCCGTAGGAGTGGAGGACGCGAGTCAACGGTCCACCGACTTCTCTACCGTTTGCGGCCAGGCCCGGGGTAGGTAAGTCGGGGTGGACACCGTGTCGGAGGCCAGGCCACGGCGCGGAGTCTACCGGACCGCCGGGAAGCTAACTCAGGAACATCTCTGGAACATCTCTCGGTTTAATAAGAGCAAGGCAAGGCCAGAAGTGGCCACTTACCCTGTGTTCTTTACTATCCTCCCTTCCTCCTCTTCTCGATCGCGCACCGGCCGTAGAGTAAGTACCGCGAAACCCGCGAACGCGTTCCTCCGCCGAACCGCGAACACCGCGACGTGTTCCTCCGCCGAACCGCGA